TAGGGTCGGGGTGGCTCCAATTGAGGCGAAATTGGTTCAACATCGGCTGAGGTGGTTCAGACATATCCAACGGAGGCCTCCTGATGCACTGGTGCGTAGGGGAGTTCTACAGCGAGTCGAGGATGTTAAGAGAGGTAGAGGTCGGCCTAAACTCACTTGGGAAGAGTCGGTTAAGAGAGACCTTAAAGATTGGAATATCTCCAAGGATTTAGCGGTGGATAGGAGCGCTTGGAGGCTCGCTATCAACGTGTCAGAACTGCGACTTTTGCTCCTTTTTCTCTCTCTCTCTCTCTCTCGTTTTTTTTTTTTTTGGTTCGAGTCTCTTTGTGTTTCTCTTATGTTTCATCTCTAGTCTACCCCGACTTGCTTGAGACTAAAGGCTATGTTGTTGTTGTTGTTTGTTGTAATGGGTGAGATGAGCATTCACAAAATTAATACTCATCAAATTTTGATTATTTTACTTATACAGTGATTAATAGAATATACAAACCATAAAATTATTCCACAGATACGCAAAGTGGTCGAGTATATTACGACTTTTGCTAAGGAAAAATTTGTCCGCGAACAGGGCATCCAATATCCAGAATAAATGTCGGCAACTGTTGAATTTCCTTAATATTGCTTATGACGGTTTTCAAGTCCTGAATATTGCTTAGTAATTATATACAAAAGTTGCTTGCTTTGTTATGCATTCACAAGCTATATAACATAAGTTATTACTTATTAGTTATTAGTATTAAGTTATTAATTATTAATATTAAATTATTAATACTAGTATTAAGTTATTGACTATTAACATTAAGCATTATTTTTTTTAAAATTTTTTATCGGTTCGGTTCGGTAAAACCGAACCCTCTATAGTTTCGGAACCGATACCATACCGATAACATATCGGTAACCGATAATCGGTTACCGTTTTAAGTGAGTCGGTTCGGTTTGATTTTTTTTCTCGTCGGTTCGATTCGGTTTTTGGTTTTGGGTTTTCGGTCCAAACATGCCAGCTCTAGTGAAAACATATTCATGATATATAACTATTGGGCATCAGACATAATATTCAAACATAACCTATAAATTATATAAATCTAGCTTTATTTTGTACTCAAAAGCTTGAGATAGATACAATCAAATATTATTTTGTTGGAAAACTTGCACTAGAAAAACTATGCAAAATCCATCGGTAAATTATTTCCAATGAAAATTCTAACAGTTATTTCAAAAGTAGAGTTGCCATTGGAATTTTTCAACAAATATTCTAATAGAAATCAACAATAAAATGTTCCGTTGGAATAAAATTTTTCTTGAATTTTTTTAAGAATTTTCATTGGAATATATAATTTTTGTTGGAATGTGTATTTTGGGTCATCTTTCAACCATTGAAAAACCTATCGTTGATTTGTAAAAATTCAACAAATATTTCAACGAAAATATCAGTACAACATAATATTCTTGTTGGAATCCATTGAAATAATTATGTCATTCACAAAGGAACAAAATAATAATATATTAAATAGAAAATTAGAATGCAAATTCACAATAAATAATTATTTTTGAAATGATCCTTTATATCAAATAATTATATTTTGTATTTGAATTATTTACATTAAAATTAATAAATTGATTTTAAAATTTATTTGTCGACCATGAGAATTAGAGTTCAAGTTCTCAATGCATAATTTTGTATAAATTTATTTAGTAATAAAAAATTGTAATTATTGCTTTAATGATAAATCTTACGTAGAAGTGGACAAAATTTATTTCTAGATAATTAATTTTATTTTGGAGGAAATTTTTTTCTTCAAACTTCTTCATTTTTATATATATGGATTAAGTCACTAGCATGATTTAACTACACATTACTTTCAATTATTTCTCTCATATTTTTACGTCAAATCAACTGTAATAATTATATTTTAAATATTATTTTAATACAAATTCAAAATTCCACTCAAAACTACCCCAATTAACTGTTTTTTTCAAAATTAATTGGTTATCCAACAAATCAAATCAAAATTCAAAATATACACTGAGGGTTAATGGACTGAGGAATAGAATTAGTATATATATCTTAAGTCGAAGTTAGTGCTGTTAAATTAATCGAGTATGGCTCGACTAGGCTCGAATTCGGCTCGAGCTCGAATTCGGCTCGAGCTCGATCGAACTCTTGACGAGCCGAGCTTGAACTCATTTAAAACTTGTTTGGTTAACGATTCGAGTACGACTCGACTCGATAAGGCTCGAAAAGAATTTTATTTATATATTTTTGTATAGTTCGACTCGTTAAAGCTCGACATTAGCTCGAACTCGGCTCGTTATAGTGATATATGAGCTAAACTCAAGCTCTATTACAGTATTACTAGCTCGTTTATTTAGCGAGTTGTACTCAACTCGTTAATTGTGATAAATGAGCTAGAACTGAGTTCGGCTTGTTTACAAATATAGTGAGAACTATAAAAAAAGAAGTTGGAAAACTCAGAAAAATATTAAATATGTAGCATCAGTCCAACTCACCACCACACCACAAGAGGCAAGGCTGACAGTGAGAAATTTGAGGGAAGACTTATGTTGTTTCTTTTAAGTGAAGCAATAAAGAAAAAGCAAGAAATTTAAAAAGGGATGCCCAGAAAATACCATAAAAGCTGTAATAGGTCATTTTCAAGAAAGGATGGATGGTGGTGCCATTTTGGAGGGATCTATCCTTCCACACACACTTTACCTCTTTCTTAATTCTGGCCAGTTACTGACGTTAACCAAGTTAAAAATATATTATACATTTGTAAAAAAAAAAATAAGTAAAATGCTATCTCTTAGTTTGATGTTGAAAATATATTATACATTTGTAAAAAGGTAAATACTACTACCTCCTTTTTTTTATAAATGTCATTTTGGCTTTATCAACAATTGTCTAAATAAATGACGTTTTGGATCTTTTGTACATATTTTTCCATTATTACCCTTATCTAGCTAATAAATACACTACGTCTTTTCATATTCACTCTTTATATTTTCTCAAAACATCCATCTCTATCCTCATTAATGAGGGTTATTATTGGCAAAAAAAATATTCTTAATTAGTGTGCAACTTCTCAAAACGACATCTATTAAAAAAAGGAGGGAGTATCTCTTATTTATCAAAATAGAACCATCGATATGTGGATGCAAAATTTGTGCACTAGTTATGTATCGAAAACAATTATAAACTGTAAAATATATTCCCTATGCACAAATAGTATTTAGTAAGTCCACTAACTCTGTTTGGCTAAATTTTATTTTTCGTACACTATGTTGGTCATTTTTCGAGAAAAAGACCATCATATAAGGTGTCATTAAGAATGGTCCACTAAGTTGTCTCTTTTAATCAAAAATCGTACAAAAGTCAATATAGTGTACTAAAAATGACAAACACTTTTAGTATACTATCTTGGTTTTTGTACGAATTTTTATTAAAATGACAATTTAGTGGATCATTCTTGATGACATCTTATATGATGAACCTTTTGAAATTTTGCCAAATTCGTTTATATATAATTGTTTGTGGTTCTATTATCTATGGAAAAATTAACAATTAATGCCTGGCTAAATTTGATCTTCTCCTCGAATCATACGTTTATTAGTTTCCAAATAACTATTTCTTTTTCTTTACATAGGTTAATTATTTCTTTAATACATTTTTATTTGAGTTTTTCTTTATCATTTTTTAGTGCTTACAGTATAATTAAACGAATATTCGAAAATGGTAAATAATTATAAACAAATAATTCAATCTAATGAACTTAATAATCAATTACCCTTTTATCACCCGTACACCACCAAGTGTGAACATGATATTTTGTTGTTTTCCAATTTTGTTATACTCTCCTCCACTTTACCTCCCATTATTAAAAAAAAAAAAAAATAGCCAAGAATCACTGTTTTGAGATCCGGAACGGCCCGACGGGTCGACCCGCGACCTGGTTGACTCGGAGCCGAAACCGGTCCGGGTGGAGTATTTGGACCGGACAATCAAGGATCCGGTCAAAAAAACTCTATTTTTTTTGTTTTTTAAAAATAAAAATATGTATATATGCTTATATGGTAAATATTTATCATGAGATACATATTATTAATATTTTAATATACAAATTTTATACACAAAACATTTAATTTTGTTACTTTTATGTATATTTATATAACAAAAATACTCTATATATAATTTTAAAAATTTTAAAATTAATTATCCGATTCAGCAATTGACCCGGTGACCCGACGGTTGAACCGGTGACCCGAGGACCTGCCCGAGGCCAAAGAATGAATAAAATCAAAAACATTAAATAAAAGATTGGTATATGTGGATGTGTAGTACTGTAGTAAGGCTGTACAAAAAGAGTAGCAGTCGAGGCCAGTGTAGATATCACAGGCAAAGGATCTTTTATCTAATCTCTCTGACCCAAACACTGCAACCCTCATCACCATCTTTTTATAGTAGAGAAGTAAATGGTAATATGAAACTATAGTAAATAATAATAATAATTTTATCTTATTTTATTACCTACTCTGCTGTGTGTTCAGATATAGAAAAGGCCAAAAATAATATTATCGAAAACAATCACAGGTAAGATTTTGATAAGAGTTCTTTATTAGATTAATCATGTTTGCTTATATTGTGACAGTAGAAAAAAGAAAAGAAACAAAATTAAAGCTGGTTTATGTAATTATTTCACTTTTATCGTAATTTTTATTGCAGAGTCATGTTTAGCACAGATTGGGGTGCAGAATAGATTACATAGCCACCATAAAAAAATTGTGATAAATAAAGTGAATAAAAGCAATATGGTAATTCTTATTGCAGAGTCTGGTTAGTACAGATTGGGTTGCAGAGTAGATTACATAGCCACCATAAAAAAATGTGAGAAATAAAGTGAATAAAAGCAATATGGTTAGGCTGCTGCAACATAAAAAACAATTACAAGCCTCTTAATAATAATAATATTATTATTATTACCATTATTTTAATTTGTTATGAGAGGGTTTTTAAAGAGTGGCCATGAATTTGGAGGGTTGAAGTTTTTTGGGAGACGAAAAGCTTTGTAGTTGAAGGTGGTCCAAGAAAATCATCACAGGAGCCATCAAAGGGATTTGACTCTGGATTCCCACGGAAATCTTCACCATCTCTATCAAAATCAAAACCTTGGAGATGCTGAGGAGGAGGAAGAAGAAGAAGAAGGGGATCAACAGCCTCAGAACCTCTCTCTGAAAACCCACCTCGAGCCCCCAACGGCGTCGTTTCAAGAGCTCTTCCATCCAAACCACCTCCTTTACGCACGGAGGACTGACCCCAGTCACCAACCGCCGCCGCCGGAGCAGCTGCTTCCACCTCCGCCGCCCAAGAAGCGGTTATACTTTCCCCCTTCGTCCTCGTACCTGGGGACCGCTTCCGAGTATGCGAGAAGAATGGACGAGGGTGAGGGCGACGGCCGTGACAACCCCTCACCACCGCCGTCGCTGACGAAGCACGGCGGCGGCTCAAGAGGCGGCGCCGCAGTGATGGGAGAGATCGTTGAGGTGCAGGGGGGCCACATCGTGAGGTCCACCGGCCGGAAGGACCGCCACAGCAAGGTCTGCACGGCCAAGGGCCCCCGGGACCGCCGCGTCCGCCTGGCGGCGCACACCGCCATACAATTCTACGACGTCCAGGACCGCCTCGGCTACGACCGCCCCAGCAAGGCCGTCGACTGGCTCATCAAGAAGGCCAAGGCCGCCATCGACGAGCTCGAGGAGCTTCCCGCCTGGCACCCCACGACCGTAGCTGCAGAAGACGCGCAGAAGAAGCTCGAGCTGCAGAACCAGCCGCAGAACATGGTGATTTCCGAGGCCTCCGGTTCGTCGGGCAAGAGGGAAATGGCGATGCTTGGCGGTGGGAACGAGCATATGTCGGGGTTTCTTCCCCCGTCGTTAGACTCCGACGTTATAGCCGACACCATCAGATCCTTCTTCCCCATTGGCGGCGGCGGAGCCACCGGCCAGGCCAGCTCCTCCGCGGTGCAGTTTCAGAGTTTCCCGACCCACGATTTGTTCTCGAGAAACAGCAACAACAGCCAAGATCTGAGGCTGTCTTTGCAGTCGTTTCAAAATCCGAACTTTATCCACCACCATACCCCGCCGCCGCCGGCGGCGGCGCACGCAAACCCAGAACATCACGCGCGGCCCCAGCAGGGGCAGCAGCACGTACTCCTGACCGGCATCCCGCTAGGGTTTGACAGCTGGCAGCACCAGCCGGCTCCCGAGCTCGGCCGTCAGCAGCACCTTCCTTCCTGGAGCTCCGGTGACGCCACAACCGCCGGATTCTCGTTCGGCTCGCAGCACCTGTTGGGCGGCGGCGGCAGCAGCAGCCACAACCAACATTTTCTTACCAGTATACAGAGGGGACCCCTTCAGTCCAGTAACTCACCTTCGGTTCGTGCTTGGATGGACCCACCAGCGGCCATGGCAGACAACCTCCACCACCATCCCGGATCTTCGTCCGTCTATGTCCCGTCGCCGTTTTCCGGCGGGATTGGCTTCTCCGGATACAGTGGGTTCTCAGGGTTTCACATCCCGACACGAATTCAGGGTGACGAGGAGGAGCACGATGGATACTCAGACAAGCCATCCTCTGCTTCCTCCGATTCCCGCCATTGAAACTTTTTCCAACTCGCGTCTGCAAAACCATCCTCCCTTGAGCAGGTGACAGTTCACAAGTCTTTTCTTTTCNGTACATCTTAGATTATTAGCAAACAATGAATTTGGCTAATATGGGTCATATTTTTTTTTAATTAGCAGGATAAATAAAAGAGGAATTCTAGAACCGGTGGAAGTCTTCGGTGTTCTTGACATGGGAACAGATGGGAATTGGATGAAGAGAGTTTATGTGAGTTTCTTTCTCGATGGCCGCTGGCTTTTCCGGTGTGGCGAAAGAATTCTTGATTCGAGTGTCAGGTTCTTTTTCCAATCATTCCGGTTTGCCACTCTATGTTAGTTGCTTTGTGTTTGTGTCTGAATGAGCTGATTACGTAGAGAGCTCTAGACTGTTTTCCAGACAATTTCGATTTGCTTCTGTGTATTAGGACTTCTTTATGTTAATGTGTGAATGTCTGCTTGTTTTGCTGCTATCTGATCAATTCCAAAGTTGGGAGTTGAGTATTTGAAGTTTAAATTAATAGTCCTTGAATCTTCATACAGCCAATCCTGGATATTTTAATTTAATAAGATTTTGTGTGACAGCTACGAAACCTGACCTACGTTTTGCTTAGTCGTGAGCTCGAAACAATTGGGCTGTTTCCTCTTAGTAGAAATTGTCGATTATTTGCATGAAGGGAACACCATTCTTGATCAATCTTGCTCGAGCTCTATTTCATCCATCTTCTTGATTGCATGTTTTAAGCCTTCTAATAGTTGCTTGGCCATTTTGTGTTTTGGCTGGTAGCATCTGTTGAGAAAGTTCAATACCAAATCCTAACACTACTTCAACCTTTTTCCCCTCATCTGAGAATGCATTTGAACTGAAATTTGCTTCGACATTAATTTGCTTGCAAGATTTCTCAATTGTTGATCTTAGCTTTCAAGTAACTAGGAAATGTTGTCTATAATAGTGGCATATTTGGTCATACATGCATCTAGGCTGGTGTTGTGATATATTACGTACAACGTTGTCAAAATTATTCTTTTCAGTCGATTTAGCCAGAAGCTTGTAGTAATGCAGTACAGTATAAATTGACATCAGGTTGGTAACTATTATTGCAGCTGATTGAAAGGTTAAATCCCAAGTCTTTGAAAAGAGGTGAATGATGAAGAAGAGATCACAAATTATGTGGAAAATGGATTGGAAATATCATATAAAAGACTCAATTATGGAAAAAAAACACCCTTCAAATACAACCAAAATTGGATGCTACCGTTTAGTGACCATCATTAATTGTAATGGTCCCAATCTCTAGAAATTGTCCTCTTTGCTGTGCCTGTTTAAAAATCTCTTCAAGGGAAGGGCATAGCTGGAAAAATTTCTATCTATATCATATACCTTCTGCACAAATGAGAAAATAAAAATAAAAAGGAATAGTAATAATAAATAGAATGTTTGGCCTCTACTGAGATGGTGACAATTGCTTGATGGTTGTTGGTACTTTATGGCTGTTTAGTACACTGCTGGAAAAGGTGGAATAATAGTAGCAGGTATTTTTGGAGGAGNGGAATTCAGCTCCAACCGAAAAATCTATTTTCAAGTCCAAAAGAATATTCTTGGAATTTTTTTTTTACATCGATTTTTTCAACCTTTTAATATTACCCACATATTTTAAAACTTTACAAATTAATTAAACCACACTATTATTTTAAATTTGATTTGAAATTTATGTAATAAAATTAATTATAAAGTTTTAATTCATATACATAATAAAATCAAAAAATAAATATTCTTATATCGTTAGCCCCTTTTAGTCGATAAAAGACTGAGACTTCCCACAGACGGCACTTGTTACTTCACTTTGCTGATGAACGTATTGAACACTTCCAGCCTCGGACGTTCCTCCTTGAGCCTTCAATAACCTGCAATATGTTGGGAGTAGACGTGTCCATTTGGCCATACCCGGCCCGGCCCGGGTTGCCGGGCCTGAAGATAGATACCCAGAACCGGCGGGTTATAATAAGGTTGAGACCCAAAACCGGCCCCTTTGTAGCATGGGTCCGGTTTAATGATCCGTGCATTTGTGCTATTTCAGGACCGACCCGACGCACCAGGCCGACTCTGGCCATGTCTAGCTAGGAGAGAGTCCCAGCGAAAAACTCTCAGATGCTCAAGTCAAAATTTGTTCAATCGTATACTGTAAATATATGAAATAAAGGCGTCGATTGTATATTGTGTTAAATGAAAGAACTTGTCGTCCTTTTATAGGACTTGATAGCGTGAGGTCGAAGAGAGTTCTTGTTAGAGAAGAGATCCATCCGGATTTTACTTTCCTAACTTACCACGTCTCTATCTTGGTAATAATCTTGAACGAGTAATTCCTTTCTTCTACTAGGGTTCTTCCCTCCTTTTGCTGTTTTAGCACACGGATCCTTAGGTCGTAAACTCGACCTCTTGAATTGTCTGTTGTGGCCTTCCCAAGGACGTCCTGACCTAATCCTGAGGTCTAAATCGACATTATCTTTAAGTCTAACCTGCCCTAAGACCACCCGACCTCGTTATATCGAGATCGGTTACTTTGTCGGGCCCCTGGAGGTCGATACTTCCAGGTCGGGTCTATTCTGTAAGCTCGGCACCTTAAGCCCTCATCCGAGAAGAGCATCTTATCTCTAAATCCCCGAGAGTCTTTCTAACTTGGCCTTAGCCGAGTTGCTCTCTCTAACCGGTGTACCGAGGTACTTCAGGGTACTACCTCACCAATACTAACAGATATTATCTGGATAAGAAATTAAAAATTTTCAATCTAGAAAGTCAGATAGTGTTGTTGTCTCTATCTTGAAATTAATATCAAAGATTTAACAATCAATCTGTTAGAATATCACTTGTGAGTTGTCCCACATCGTTCATAAATGGAAAATAGACAAATTTTATAAGTCTAATGGGCTACTCTTCCTTCCACCAATTGGTTTTGGAATGGAACCCCACTTGGGCTTCATATGGGCTTTCCCCGTTCATGGTGTGCTTCATGTTAAGTGGGACCGCAACCATTTCCCCCCAGTTTCTGTCATGGTATCAGAGCCGGTTCTATGTGGGACCATGCGATGACGTACCCGTTTTTCCCAGCCAGTTGAGCTTGGGCTTTCGAAATACTCACAAGTGAGGGGGCGTGTTAGAATATCACTTGCGAGTTGTCTCACATCGTTCATACATGAAAAATAGACTCATCTTATAAGACTAATGGACTACTTGTCATTCCACCAAATTGGATTTGGAATGGAACCCCACTTGGGCTTCATCTGGGTTTTTCCCTATCATGGTGTGCTTCATGTTAAGTGGGACCGCACCCGTTTCCTCCCAGTTTCTGTCACAATCCATGTCTTAATCTCATGATTAACTCAAAGACCATGGGGTGCAAATAAGTTATCTATAATATAAGATATTTGTAATTATTTGAAACCTAGTACCACAGGTAAGTGACCGCATGGCCAAATGAAGCAATGGAGCTTAATTCAATTAATTAATATAATAAAGTATAAATATAATTAACTTAATTAAATATTTTGTACTAAATAAAAAATAATCTCTTTATTCATAATGAAATATTTCAATCCAAATTAAATATTCAACAACATTAACTCTTAACCAAAAAATTTATTGCATATTGTGTGGCCTTATAGAACTTCATATATTGATATAAGTTCAATTTACGATCTTTATGTCACTAATAGACTGTGTTGCAAAACAAACTCAAAATATAAAGTATGCTTACATGAACAAAGCAACCAAAATTTTAGTGTAAACACAAAAGTGATACAATTATCCTTCATTTACAAACAACTCGATTAAGCTTAGAACATGAACGTGTGTCTATCCAAAAAATGTTTATCATTTGATCTTATCTTACAATTTGACTTTAGCTGATCACATTTGAACACTATTTTTTATAGAATCATATATACTGATGAATTACTTTATCAACCTAGTAAAAAGAGAAACTATATTCATAATACGAAACTTAATCTTAGCTTAACTATCAATTTCATGTATATCGTAATCAACTCAACAAAGCACATATATATATATCTATAAGAAACATAAGCGTTGGACATGATCTAAGTAAACTAGTTATCTATATCTATCTATCTATCTATATTTATACTATTATAAAAGGACGAGTGATTTTGTAAAAATTTGAACGGATTAAAAAGTCCTTGTATATGATATATTTTTAATGGTAAAACTGTAATCAAATTAAGTTGTTGAATTGAAAAGAAAAACTCAATACCATAGAAATTTATAAATTTTGGACTCTAATCACGATATTCAAAGAAGAAATGTCTCCTTACTTGCAAAAGGAGGTTAAAAAAGCTCCGACCATACTACAAATTAGTAGAAATTTTATAAATTTTGGACTCTAATCACGATATTCAAAGAAGAAATATCTCCCTAATTGCAAATGTACGTTAAAAAGGCTCCGTCCGTATTATAAATTAGTCATCTTTTGTTCTATGATAATTTATGTTTTATCAAAGTGAACATATGATATAAAATAACCCACTCCCATTGATAGCCGCTAAAAAATGTCAAACGGAAATACCAAAATAGAAAGAGCTAATGAACATCAAAATTAAAGGTTAATGAGCATAACTGTAAACTAAAATTATAAAACATATTATTTTTAATAGAGATCTTTCTCCTGAATAGCAAGCTCAAAAGATGCATGAGACTATCATGATGAACTCTATAAATTAGATTGCAATGCTCATACTGACTTAATGTAAAAATATAAAATAAAAATTTTAAATTAAAAATAAGACAATACAAAACTAACTTACCTTATATGAAATAATATATTATTAAAAAATTATTATTCAATAACAAGTTTTGACAAACTAAAATTTAGTTTGTATTTTTTCCATTTGTCATAATATATAGTATCTTTGATTTTAAAAGACATATTAATTAATTATTTTAGTATCAATATTGGTGATTGAAATAATTATATACATCCATATATTGTGATTTTGAGGTTTGAGATGATATTTAAGTTTTTATTTTAAATTTAACATTATTCATCTTCTGTGATTCACTTTACATTATTTTGCACAATCACAATATACTGAACATCAAATGTGCTTTTAGCCAAAAACAATCTTTTCAATATACATATTTTAAAACTTTACATTCCATAAGTGAAAAATCAATTATAATTCACCAAAAGATTTATTTTTTAATGTTTTAAACTATAAAGCTAAATTATTGAAATTTTACGTTAAATGAGATTAAGTACCATATGCTTATTAACAAAATAAAAAATAAAAGTAGTGTTTCAACGAGAAAAAAAATCGTTCAAATAACTATATGCTTATTAACAAAATAAAAAATAAAAGTAGTGTTTCAACGAGAAAAAAAATCGTTCAAATAACTATATGCTTATTAACAAAAATAAAAAATAAAATAGTGTTTCAACGAGAAAAAAAATCGTTCAAATAACTATAAATATAGATAGATCGAGTGAAGAAAATATACAAAAATTATGTCATTATAAACGAGAAAATAACATGAGGAATTTAAGAAGATTTGACTAGCAAAATATTAATTGAGTTATGGTTTTTATATATTGCCAATAAAAATAATCTATCTATCTATCTATCTATATATATATATATATATATATATATACTAATATAAAAGAACGACTAATTTTGTAAAAATATAAACTACCTAAAAAACTCTTATTTTGACTTATTTTTAATGGCAAATTAGTAATATACTGATAACCATCAGATTTTATTTTTTAGTTAATAAATAATTCTAAAGATACATACTTAACATTAATTAAGAGAAGATACCTAAAATTTTGCTGAAATCATATACCGTGATATATATACATAATCTAACCAACTAGAAAAGTGAACAATTCATTTAACTATTTCATTATTTAAGAAAAGAAACTCTTTTATTTAGAATTAATATAGAAATTGAACCTTTGTTTTATTGGATTGGATTTTGATCCCAGAAAAATCGTCATTTGTTTATTTGATTTTTTTTTTTTAAATTTTGGTCACAAAGTCAATAAAGTTAATTAATCTTCACCTGAGCATTCAAATATCAAGGTGAATACTATTTTAATTATTAACACTTAAAATATTTAAACTTTTTCATTCAATAATTAACTACAATATATCATGATATTTTAATTATTATTAATTACTACTACATAAATATTCTTATTTTAAGAAGGAATACAAAAAAAAATTGCTATATTGCAATGAAAAACCTGAAGGCAGATATTCCACTCAAAATTCCAACGAATATTTCATTGGTATAACTTTCATTGGAAATTTTTATTGACTATTCCAACAAATATCAAATTAAATTACATTTGAGTTTTAATGGATTTAATGATTCTAATTATCATTAATTATCGTTGTGTGAATTTCCGTTAATTTTTTTTTCTCGGACCGTATTTCAACCGTTGACAAAACTGTAATGCAAATTGTAAAAAAAATCAATGTAAGTTTCATTGAAAAACTAATTGCAGTGGCATATCCAAAATAATTTCATACTAGGGGAATAGTTAGTTGATAGAAAAAGGATACCATCAAAATAACATAATGTCGTTACAATTTAAAAATTATAATTTTCATAAATTGTTATTTTTCTCATTCGTAATATATTTTTAAATTTTAACACAACAATACAGTCACAATAAGTTAAAAAATATTTAAGAAAAAAGCATAATATTTTTCAATTCAACATAAGAAAATCATTGAAAATAATATATTTTTTAAATTTTTTATGAACAAAAAATTTATATTGTAGTATATGTGACTCAACTCGACTATATTATTAATGAATTTATAAATTATGAACATATAGCTAGAATTCCACATACATTACTTAAAAAGGATAAAAAAAATATTTTTGAAGTTAGAGAAAACATTATGTTGCAAAAAGAGAGAGAGAGAGAGAGAGAGAATAGAGTTATCATTAAAATTAAAAAAATAGAATAAGAGAGTAAAATTATAATTTCGATTTTTTTCATATTTTTTTAGTTGTGATACCGCCTGTATGTTATAACTTTAATAAAGTTAACTGAATTAATTTATAATTGGTTGAGTTGTAAAGTAATTCATTATGTATTTTTTTTCTTTTAATTTTATTATCAAAATATTTTTGTCAGAAACTTTTCATAGTAAAATTCAAAAGGAGGTAATAACATTGAAATATTCGTTAGATTATCGTTGAAATTCTACTGTAATATATTTTCGTCGAAATTTTATCATTTTTCTTGTAATAAAAGTAGGGCTCTAAATCAATAAAAAAAATTTACATTATATATAATATTGCGTGCAACTAATTATTATGAAAATTGTTGATAATGATTGAAAATATAACACATTTAATGTAATTTTCATTTAATTTATGATAATTAGTATTTTTTTCAAACCAAACAAGATACATCTAGGTTGAAAGTCTTTAATTAGTTTATTACGTATCGTAACTAAACAAGAGGTAAGAATGATTTTATGAGTAATAAAAATATAAGACTAGGCAATGAGAAAACATATAGCTCGCATTCAATTCATAAGTAAAAAAAGTGATAAAATTAAGTAATGTCCTATATCAGTTGGAGCTGGCTAATGAATAATATAAACATATTCAAGATGAACATTTATTTTAGCTAGACTTTTAAGTACATAAAAAGTATATATTTTTTGCATTAAAAATTGGTATGTCAGTCTTAATTTTTTTAGTTACAAATTTAATTACTGACTACCATTAAAATTTTCAATTTTAAAATACTTAATGTTTATTTATTTGTTACCCTTTTTATATGTATCAATACTAATTTAGAATAATAAATGTACCTAAAAGTATCTTATAAAATAAATTACAAATTAATGTTAAACAAATTTTATTAAGTATGAAAAAAACATAAGATAAATTTGTGCTATATATTTTACTTAGATAGATTTGAAATATTCATACAGATAAGAAAAACGTACAAAATGGATGTAAACTTACAACTATTACCACCATTAACTATGCGAATTAAAATGAGAAATAAATGAGTTGTATTTTCAACAATTATTCAGTTACTACATTAAAAAACACCATAATAGTTGTAACTTATAACATATATTTTCAATGAATACGAATTATCAATAAAAAAATTTCTAAACTTTTTAATCTTATAACCAGTATAAAAGTACATTTTTGTCAAATATATTATTATTATAAATAGATAAATAAGTAATATTAAATAGTATTTATCATATTTGATTATATTAGTTGTAGCCTAATAAATAAGATATTTGAATATAGTATCATTGTATAAAGTATGTACAAAAAAAGGACGCAATACATATAAATGTGCTCTAATTATTTTAACAAATATATATTATTTATGAATAGAATAAGAAATAAATAGAGCGATATTAATTCAATGGGAAAAGAAAAAGGTTGAATTTTCTTAGAGAAATTTGATACCAATATCTAGAAATAAAAGTCTTTTAAAATTACTATTTTTTTTTTCTAGCGTCTAAATATATGAACACTGTAAGAAATTAGTTCTCATATATAATGATCTTATATTATCAAGAATTTTAAATAATTAAAAAATAAAAACTTTGTAATACATAACGTAAAATTTAATAATAACCTCGTAATAATAAAGTTCACAGAGCGACTAAGAGTATCATAACATAATAGAATTAGCCGAGGATTATAACATAATGGAATTCTAATTCTTCTTTTCTCAAATATTACAAATGATATGCTTCTTAATATTGTCTCAATGTTTTCTTTGTCCAATAAATGAGATTTATCTTGAATTTTCGAAGCATAATGTATGATGCAAAAAAGTTGGACAATAAAAGCATTAAAGAAAATATTAGGCACATAAGTACTGCAAATTCGAGAGAATGTAAAAGATATTATGATAAACACCGCTAAAATGACTTGCAAACAATAGATTATATAGTTAGTCTGTCTTCTAAATAAATTAATAATATTGAAAAAAAATGTGATCAAAACATTCTTGAATGTTTGAATGAAATTGTCCCATTTTTATAGGAATATTTTGTGTATTTTGCTCGAATATATGTGCAATTACTTTACAGTACGTACTTTCATATAATGTTATGATTTCAAAAAGTAATTTAGCGTCTCGAGATAAGTACATGTAACTAAGATTTTGGAAAGTCAACTTATTTGGAGATGAAATTCATTCCCATATCGTGGAGCAATGCCTCCATGGAGTAGGTACCAATTTGACTATATTGACATAGTAATGAAGTAGTTTATACAATGATAAAAAAAATAATAAAAACAAAATCAACAATTTAATGATATGGTTGGTTATTTTACAAAGTTATTCATGAACTGTTAGTAGAAATACTTTATAAAGATCATACAATCATAAAGTTTGACTCTATGTTTGGCCACAATACTTATAAGAGTTTGAATAAAGTAGGCGTTTTGCCAAATTAATTAAGTAAAATAACTAATGCATCTATAATATACATTAGGTCTTTATTTGGTTATTTTGTGTTTTTTTTTTTAATTATGGACTATATTTTTGTTGGAATTGTAATATGTTATTTCATTCTTTTTATATGAGGTTATCATTATGTTACTTTAAAAAAAAATTAAAATCTCATTTATTCTATATTTTACTTTGTTCTTGCAATGATATGTTTAATAAATTAATTTATTTATTTCACTAAAATTTATTGGCAAAACATTCATCACCACGTGCGATGCACGTGCACTTTACTAGTATATAAAATGCATATTTTCCTCAAATCAAAGAACTATTATTGTATTACACTATTT